GACACAGACAGGCTTGGGTAATGTGCAGCACGCTGTGTGAGCCTCACTCACTAGATTGGGAGGCAAAGTGGGTCTCAGGCCAGACGCCTTCTCAGGGAAGCACTACCATCGAGAGGAAGTTGCCAAAGGCCAGGCTTTTCGATGCTACCCTGGGTCCCACAGAGCCCCAGAAACGAAGGAGAAGAAACAACACCGGGAGGTGATACTTGCAAGATTTGGGGTGAACAGAGGTTTGATGATTGCTGGAAGGGAGGGCTGATGGATTCACTTTGGGCCGGCGGGGTGGGGGGCGGGAGGAGAGGCAGAAAAAGTGGGTGCCTTAGGGAGACCGCTTCCCAGCTTAGAATCACTTCAGTCCACAGTGAGCCTTCTCTTTGGCAAAGCTCCACAATGCACAGGGAACCAGGGCTCTTCTTTTTGGCCCCTGAGGGCACTGGGGGAGGAGGAGCTGGCAAAGGCAAACTGAGATGGCACGTACAATGGACCAGGGGCTTGAGGCGGCAGCGCTCTGCCTTCTCCGCTTAGCTGATGCTGCCGCCTAACAAGCCTTCTCCAGGCAAGATTAAGGACCTCGGCTGGCCCTCTCCGCTTGGGCTTCTGAACACCATTCACGTGGTCTGTGCCGAGCTGCGCTGTGGTCTGGGCAGGTCTCAGTTGGGCCAAGCGCTTACCCATGTTTACCTGTGTTCTCCTTAACGCTCTGCTCTGGCAGGGCAGGAACTGCTCAGGTTCCTCCACACGGTGGCCTCTGGATTCTACATTTATTAAAGTGACAGCAAGCCCAGGGGCCCGCTGTATTTCAGGTCTATCCTAGAGCTGCATCTGTACTATTTTACATAGTCACTCAGCCAAACCCAGATACAAAGGTTAGGGAAACAGGGTCCCCTTAGGAACGGGAAAGCATCAGAATCACTGCACATGCCCAGTGGGACCTGGCTTCCCAAACCCTGCTCATATGGGTCTCTCTCACTCTGTGAGAGCTAGGCCTGGGTGAGCTTTTCCTCCACCATTATGTTTGAAAATACAAAATACTTAATACTTTAAAAATACTGCATTTGTGGTGACACGGGCAGACAACTAAAGTACGGTAAAGCACACGTCCGTGGTAACCGCCCAGGCCAGAGCTGGACCACGGGCATGCACCTTTGTTTTCATTCCTCCCGGCGCTTTCTGTAGCAGCTTCTTGCCACCTCCTCAGGACGGGTGGCACTTCACATTTTGTGTTTTCCAGCCTATTGAAAACTTGAAAACTAAAGTTCTGGTGTCACTGGACGGTACGGCTGTGCGATTCAGCGCTGAATTTCGCTTGCCTCCCCCCATGTGGCGAAGTTCACTTACTATTTATTTCCTGAGTTATTTCTTACTGTGATAAAATAGATAGAATGTGCAGTTTGGCTCCGGGCCCTCTCAGCTTCCATTTCAGCCGCACGGCTCACACCGGCAATGTTGTGCAACTATCAGCACTGTTCCGAAGACACCTTTGCCACCCAACCAGAAACTACACAAATATTAAGCCACAGCTCCCCTCTTCCAGCTTCTGGCAGTTTCTTACATTTTAAAAGATAGCGTGTGCGCGCGCACATGCTTAAGGTCCCTGTGGTTCGATCCACCATGTGGTTTCTGTGCAAACTCAGGTCTTCAGGTTTGGCTGCAAGTGCCTTTGCTCCCTGAGCCATCTTGCCAGGCCCTTCCTCTGGTGGTTCCTCATCTGCTTCCTGCCTTGTGAATCTCTCTTTCAGCTCCTTCCACTTAGGAGGTTTCCGAGGTTACGATAGGAGGCGTCAATCAGCTCCATTCTTTTCCGTAGGGGGATGAGAGTCTCTGGCATGTACAGATCAGTTTGCAATCTTCTGTTGATGGACACCTGGGCTCTTTCTGCCTTCTGACCACTCTGAAGGCGCTGCAGGGCACACCGCCAGGAAGCCTCTTGTTTTAGTTCCTGTTGGTGGACACCTCGTGATGCGACAAAAAAAATTTTTTTTAAAAGATTTATTTATTTATTATGTACACAGTGTTCAGCCTCCATGCCTTCAGGCCAGAAGAGGGCACCAGATCTCATTACAGGTGGTTGTGAGCCACCATGTGGTTGCTGGGAATTGAACTCAGGACCTCCGGAAGAACAGTCAGTGCTCTTAACCGCTGAGCCATCTCTCCAGCCCCCGACAAAATTTTTCCTAGGGAAGATGCAAACACACATGTCTGCTCACCCCAGATAGGGGTCCCGTGACAGAGCAAAGTATTATAGCACCAAAGCCCAACTTGGTTAGCCAGTGCGTTTTAGTGGGGTCTAATTGGTCTAATCCTGATTGGAATATTGACGAGAGGTTACTGACAGGAGCCGAAAGGACATCTGTATCACCAAAGCCCACTCCAGAGTGGGTGACAGCTCACAAAAACTAGGAATCTGGAGCACACTGCACAGCCTGAAGGTCACTCAACAGGTTGGAGGGTGCCCTTGCCAAGTGATTCTGGTCTAATCCTCCCCCAGGTGTCTGATTGGTTTCAGAGTCTTCTTTGCAGCTTTATTGTTTACTCTGGCAGGAAGGGGCCTAGTGAATCTGATCACTTTTGGGGACGTCCTGAAGCTATTTTGAGTTGTTTATTTTCTTGCTTAGCTTCCCTGAAGTGTGGAATGTTTCAATCTGGGTGGAGGGTTCATTGCACAACACACCTACAGGCGGAATTGCGGGGTCGGGGTGGGAGGGGCACAGGAATCCTGGGAGCAGCTTTCGAACAGACCACGGAGCTATGCCTTGGAGCAGGTACCATTCTACATTCCTACCGCAGTTCATGAGGGTTCCAGTTCCCCCACCTCTTCCCTAAGACTTGTCTTGCCGTAGGAGCCCTTCACATATTTTGGGTACTAAGTCTTTATCAAATAGAATATCTGCAAACGTTTTCTCCCTCTCTGTGGGTTTTTTTCACCGTTGCTTTTAGGTTTTATTATTGTTTCCAAATTATGTGTAGGTGTGTGTTCGCATGTCTTGCATGAAAGCTCAGAGGCACTGGGTACCCTGGAGCTGAAATCGTAGGCTGCTGGAAGCCACCTGATGCTTGGAATCGAACCCGGGTCCACTGGAAGAGCAACAAGTGCTCTTAACCATTGAGCCGTCACTCCAGCCCCGTCTTTTCACTTTCTTGATACTGTTTGTGATCTGGGAGTCATATTTCAGAATCCTTTACCAAACTGCGCCTGGGTTTGAGCTTTACAAGAGCAGTATTATTCCCAGTGCAATCACCTGCTACTCTGTGCATTGTTGAAAACTATGATTTTCTCTATTCTCTTTTGTTCAGACATTTTCATGGCTTTCTGGTCTTCCATCGTGTGACCACAACGCACATCGGTTTCCAGTCCCCTGTTGAACTGTATCTGTGTTCTTCTCAGTTGTTTTTTGATGGCGTCGATGCCACTATAAACAGCCCATTTAATTCCTGGGTACGACCTAATTTAAAAACAGCTAACTTTTTTTTTTTTTAAATGAGTGAAGACATTTAGATTGAGTGGCCAGCGTAGCAGGGCAGGTATTTGACTGAAATATTGATGTTTCTCAGCTGCCTATCTTGACTAGAACCTGGCCTACGAAGCTACAGGAAGCCCTGCTATTGAACTTGCTCTGTGTCGACACTACCCCCGTGGTGTGGTTTTCTGCTACGAGCAATCAGAGGAGTCACAGGCTCATTTCACTGATTTCAAGTTGGAACACTTAGCAACAGGAAGATGTCCACACAGGTTGGAAAGCAACTATGAAATGCAAACCTTTTCTTTACCCACTGACTCTCCCGAGTGAGGCTGCAGGGGGGGTCTACCCTGGAGAGTCTATCTTGAAACGATTCTAAGATAAACCTTTGTCAGCGCTGAAAACTCCAGAGTGAAAGCCAGAATGAGGGCCCCATGTTAGTCTATACTACAGTTGCTTTAATTACTTAAAAGATCAAAGGGCCAAGACTTAATAAACCTAGTCTACTGATTGCAGGTTCCGGAACTTTCCACAACCAGGAAGGAGATGCCCACACTTAGGTGCATGGGTGAGAAAAGGAAACACTTCCTTTATAGTCCTAGCTAGGTCAGGTCACAGGGGTGTCTAAAAGGGCTTTGAAATAACTCAAAGAAAGATCTGAAAATCCCCTCCAAAAAATAAAGTGTCAGATTGACGGGCCCTCTTCTCCGTCCCACCCTCTGGGGTTTTCCACCACTGTGGTGAGTGGGAGGGGGGGGTCACAAAGCTGCCAGATTTCTTCATGATTTGTAAAATAACACCACAGGAGAGGCAAGCATGAAGCAAGAGTTCAACTCTTGAAAGGGGTTTGGTTTGTGGTTTGATTACTGGCATAGCTGATGACCTCGGCCGAAATTGTGCAAACACGGAATTGGAAGAGAAGGAGGTGGGGTAGAACCTTGATGCATAAAAGGCTCAGTGGGAGTCACCACAGCACGGAGGTCAGCAAGAGAGGCCCAAAATGAGGTGAGTCCACGATGCACATCTCACACTTGGGGCACTTGGTGGGAGAGGTGCAAAAATGGAACGGGACCAGTGGGCTAAAGTTCTAGGTGAGGCAAGCCCATGGGCTGTAAGCTGCATGCTGCTGAGGACAGTCGTGAATGCAGCTCAACCCCAAACTGTAAACTTAGAGAATTATGAGGCTTCCTTCCTTCCTTCTTCCCTCCTTCCCTCTCTCCTTCCCTCCCTCTCTCTCCTTCTGTTCTCTTCTGTTCTCGTCTGTTCTCTTCTCTTTTCTTTCTGTAACCTGATTGTGCAGTTTGAGCTGTGAGTTTTGCAGGTGACAATGTCATGCTGAAAAGTCAAAAAGGCAGGATGTGCCTGGAACCCCAGGGGGTGAAGGGCCAGTGACCAAGCCCCTCCTCCTGCATCCATGAGAGATGGGCTTTCACACGGGCTGCTTATCTCAAAGGAGAGCTTTTGCCCTTAAGTTCATAGAGGTTTTGTTTTGACCAGGTACAGAGCAGCTTCCTGGAATATTGACCGTGCCTATTTATAGACCTGCTTTTATTGAAACAAAGACACTAGTCTCACATTTTAGTGACACCATCAAGGCACCCGGATTTCTACCAAATTAGAGAGACTTTGGAGGCTGAGAAAAGACTAGAAGCAGAACATCACCAAGAAATTCCTGCCTGGCCAGCATCTGCTGGGATTTGATTCCCTTTTAAGTGGGGTCTGTGCACCAATGATGGGCAGCCACAGTCATGCCTTTAGGAAGTCGGTTTTCTCCAGGTAATCACCTGGCATTCTTGGGTTTGATATACCACCCTTTAAAATCAAACACTCAGGAAGTGATACGAACAGCCAGACATGAGTTAGGGGTGACGGTGCACACCCGGTGACTCTGGAAACTCAGTTTGTGACAAGCCTGGGCAATGAGTGACATTGTGTCTTAAGAATGACAACTATGATGAGTTATACATTTAAATGACCGTTTCATTATGGGACATTTCAGAAAGTAGCGAGAATAGCAAAATAAACCGTAGCCCTCACCTTTAATTTAGCTACAATGTACTAATGGTGTCTTCATAGCCTAGAATTTCACTGATTTGTGGCAGAGGCTTCTTGCTGGGCATTGTGTGTCATCACTGAGAAAGGCTCACAGCTCTGTGCCTCTCTCCACTCCGTTCCGCTTTTCTCACCCCACCTCCCTCAGCTGTTTTGAGACAGGCACTTGCGATGTAGCACAGGCTGTTTTCAAAACCCTGATCCTCCTGCCTCTGCCTCAGAGTGTGGAGAGTTGGGATGGCATGGATGCTATCATGCTGGCGGCCTTCTTCCCTCTGTTATGTGGTCCCTCTCTGAAGCTTGGAAAGAATTCCCAGTGACATGGAATTTGCTGAAGCCTGTGGGGATGGAGCCGGGGGGTTGGAGGCAGGGAGGATGCAACTCCTTGGCCTTAGCGTTTTATTCTCGTTCTTTACTGGCTGCTTAATGGAAAGTGTGTGTGTGTGTGTGTGTGTGTGTGTGTGTGTGTGTGTGTGTGTGTGTGTTGCATGCGTCTGCGGCACACACACATGGAGACCTCACATGCAAGGTGACCCACTCTCCATCTTGCCACCTCTCTGCAGAGCCCTGGGAGCTGTTGTCACTCTCCTGCTCTGGGGACAGCTTTTCGCTGTGGACTTGGGCAATGATGCCATGGATACTACAGGTGAGTCTCTGGGTTTTCCTGGGCACTGTGCACCCCAGCACGGCTGTGCCCCAGTGTGGCCCTATCAAAGCTTCACCATGTGAGGGAAGACCCAGCTCCTCTTCCTATCCTCTTCTTCCCTAAATCGTTGGGGCTTCCCTTGCTCAGCTTCCACTCGGGGGTGCAAGGGAGTCTGGTGTGCAGGGCAGCTCCCTCTTGGCTGACTTTTCATAGGAAGTCACCTGGGCATTCACAACCCTTCCTGGCTTCTTTTTCTTGGCAGATGACAGCTGCCCAAAGCCCCCGGAGATTGCAAACGGCTACGTGGAGCACTTGGTTCGCTATCGCTGCCGCCCATTCTACAGACTGAGGACCAAAGGAGATGGTCAGGCCTGGATGAGTGTTTCTCCCTGCACACCCCTGGCCCTGGCTGGTGTCCCTTTGATGGATGGGGCTGGGGTACCTGGCCAGAAACCTCATGAGTACTGCCTGGAGCCAGGAGAGTTAGATTCCAATGAAGTTTCTGTCTCCTGTTGGTGGTTCTTCTGCCAAACTAAGTTGTCTCAGCTTCCTGTTTTGAGGCAGCAATTTCATAGCCCCTGTTGCCCGGAGTGCAGTCTTCACCTATGACACTGGGCAGCCTCACTATGTTCTCGCCAGTTTCTAAGAACATTACTGTGTCTTTAAAGCTCCTGTGGGTCTTATAGCATCTTTTTTTCAGAGATACTCTTAGTTTCATTTTTTTTCGACGAGGAAACTGAGACACAGAGTGACTGAGGAAGCCTGTGAGAGGCAGAGTCAGGGTCTGTCTGAATCCTGACTTCTTCCTGTCCTATGCTGCCAGCTGTCATAAGTGACTTCTATCCTGCCAGGCACAACGTGACTCGTGACTCGAGGCCCAGTACTCCGGCCTTCCTTTGCTCCCTTTCCTCTGATGCTTTAACCCTTCTGGTTAGAATCTCCTCGTGCTGCACCGAGGCCGATTTGTGTTCCCTGAGCTCATTCTTCCTTTTGTTTCAGGAGTGTATACCTTGAACGATGAGAACCAGTGGGTGAACAAAGACCTTGGAGAGAGACTCCCTGAATGCGAGGCAGGTGGGTGCTGAGGTCTTAGAGCGTGGGCGGGGATGGAGGCTAACGTGTGGCAGAGCCGTGTTCCTCCTGTGTGGTCTGAATATGTGAGAACCGAGACAGGGGTTAGAGAGAGCGAAGCAGGGACAAGACGACCCCCAGAGAGCTCTGTAAGTGGCATGGCCATTTAGGCCCAAGGGGGTTGGCTCCATCTACCCAGCTTCCCATGGAGATGCCTCCAGACAGAACACTCTGCTTACAGAGACTTGGTCAAAGGTAAAGTGAATGACCCAGGAAGGAGCAGGCTAGCTAGCTAAGCCCACAAGGGGTAAGGCAGGACATGGGGGTGGGGGAGCTGGGACCCCTGCACTCCATAGTTCCCCCCTCTTCTGCCTGGATAAGAATTTTGCTCAATTTCTACAACCAGTGGGAGGAACTGGCAACTGGCTTTGGGTTAACTTCAACATCTGTAAAAAGTCTATGTTCCTGCTAACACTGCTGCATGCCCATCTTTGAGAATGAAACATACACACAGCTTCCAGTCCTTTCATTGAGTTTCAGAGACTTGTGAAATTTTTGTGTGTGATAATGTTTATATATGTGTATGTGTATATGCAGGTATATATATTTATATAGTAGTTTATCAGCCAGGGTTTAAAAAAATTCTGTCTTAGTCACATGCTGTGTAAATACCAGAAATGAGAGGGGCAGGTGGCAACGACGGAGCGAATGTTGCTTGGTGTAGAAACAGCAGCGGCTGATGCTTCCAGGGCCTCCGTGGGTGAGGCCTGCCCCGTACTGCTGCTCACCCCCCTCCCTCCCTCTGCAGTGTGCGGGAAGCCGAAGAATCCCGTGGCCCAGGTGCAGCGCATTATCGGCGGCTCTCTGGATGCCAAAGGCAGCTTTCCTTGGCAGGCCAAGATGGTCTCCCGCCATAACCTCATCACGGGGGCCACCCTGATCAGTGACCAGTGGCTGCTGACGACGGCCAAAAACCTCTACCTGAATCACAGCGAGGACGCGAACGCCAAGGACATTGCCCCGACCTTACGACTCTCTGTGGGAAGAAATCAGTTGGTGGAGATTGAGAAGGTGGTCATCCATCCCAACCGCTCTGTGGTGGACATTGGGCTGATCAAGCTCAAGCAGAAGGTGCCCGTCACTGAGAGAGTGATGCCCATCTGCTTGCCTTCCAAGGACTACGTAGCACCAGGCCGCATGGGCTACGTGTCTGGCTGGGGGCGGAATGCCAACTTTAGATTTACGGAACGTCTCAAGTACGTCATGTTGCCTGTGGCTGACCAGGACAGCTGTGTGCTGCACTATGAGGGAAGCACAGTGCCCGAGAAGAAGACCCACAAGAGTCCTGTGGGGGTACAGCCCATCTTGAATGAACATACCTTCTGTGCCGGCATGACCAAGTACCAGGAAGACACCTGCTATGGCGATGCTGGCAGTGCCTTTGCCATTCACGACCTGGAGCAGGACACCTGGTATGCAGCTGGGATCCTGAGCTTCGATAAGAGCTGCTCTGTGGCCGAGTATGGCGTGTATGTGAAAGTGAACTCCATCCTGGACTGGATTCAGGAAACCATGGCCCAGGACTAGCGCAGGGCTGACTGGTCGGCTATGCCCACTCAGGCTGGCAGCCTACGTCTGAGAGCACTACTCACCACGGAAGAAGGGGGAGTGGAAGGGACAGGTGCTAGCCCCGCACTGCTCGGTCAATAATAAAGAACTTGTTTCTGACACCTTTGTAGTCTGGGGCTTTTATTCTCATTTACAGTACTGGGCAGCCAGGCAGGGTGGACTGGAAAAATGGGGATTCCCCCCCCCCCAACATCCTGAGGTGCCAGGAAATCCCTAGGGTGCTGTAGACTGCCTTGGGGAATCATGTTTATGAAACCCAGGTCTGAGGGATATCACTGTGACCCTTGCTTTTCAGTCAAGGAAAAAGACTTGGAGAGGTGAAGTGCTTTGGTTATGGTCACTCAGCTACTTAACCATGGAGCTGAACTCGATCCTGTCACCTCTCTGAAGCGGGTGAGGAAAGCCCAGAGTGGGACAAGGGTTGTGACAGAAGCCTGTGTTTGTGCTTCCGCCTGCCAGTGCCCCAGAAACCAAGAGCGCACTATTGACTTAATGGGTCCTCCCCACAGCTCAGCCCACAGATTTGCCCGGTGACTTAAGTTCCCTGGCCGCTGTTTTCCCCAGATCTTTTCCATCAGGGATAAACACTAGTGACTCTCTAGAGCTCCCTGGCTGGAATGTGCTGGGATTGAGTTGGGTCTCTTTCTCAGTGGTTCCTCTTCCACAGAGGAAAAACTCAGCTGCCCTCAGAAGTACACTTCCTGGCCCCAAGTCTTCAGTTCAGCCCTTCTCTAGTCTACCCTCTCACCACGCCAAACACAGCCTCTCCTCACAGCGCCTGAAGCCACCAGGGAAGCACTCACCTGCATGCTCGGAGTCACTGGGCATCTTCCCAGGGCAGAGCTGTGGCGTCCAGGAGACAAGGACCTATGTTCTAGAACTGAAACAGCGAAGTCACACACTCACACAACACCTGGGAGCAGGCGGCTGGCCACTACCCAGAGGGAACCGAGAAACCTGGCCCTTCCTTCATGGTTCCGCTTTCCTAGTAGCAATGCAGCTCTCTTCCTGCACAAGGCCTTTCTCGTCTCTCCTCAGAGACCTTTCTCTGTCCAGGAGTCCTTTACACGGTATCCAGCACTGGACAGGACATATAACACATGCTTGATAAACACTAATGGAAGGGAGAGCAACCACGAGAGGATCTAAGACACAAACCCAGACTGCAGGCCCCCTCTGCCCTCACCCCAGCCCTCAGGGTGAAAGATGAAAGTGTTTTCCCCTGTGCAGGCTTTGAGATTTGCTGGCACCTGAGCACTTAGGCTGAAGGATGGAAGACCCAGTTGACAGTGAGTTGGACCAAAGAATTTTATTCACTCATAGGGATGTGGAGAAAGGGTTAGAGTTCACCTAGGAGTTCTGTGACATTAGGGGTCTGACTCTCATCTCTGCACACGCTAAGCCGGGGTGGCTGCCACAGCCCACTGTGTATAAGAAGAGGATGGGAAAGGACTCTTCTCCCATCCCTGAAGTGACCCAGACAAACTTTCTGAGCCACAATCACCAAAACCGGGTCTCGTTTCACTTTTCCCCGAAGGACAAGCTTAGACAGAAGGAGCTGACCACAGGGCTGGCCCTGAGGTGACAGTGCCGCTGTGACAAGCCTGGGCCTCTGTTGGCAGCAAGCCTCTGGCTACCCAGCAGGTCTCAAGCTGCTTGGCCATGGACCTCCAGATCTGTACCTACGCTCTCATTCCAGTGTCAGGAACACCAGAGGATTAACAGAAACACAAGCTTCCTGAGCTTGGGCCAGGGGGACCCTGGAAGCTCAGCTATTCTTCAAAAGCCACTGGGAGCAGCAAACCCCACAGGCATTTCCCCCTTACAATTTTGGTCTTGAGTCCTTGAAATAAGAGCTCTGTCCTTTGCTTCCCAAGGAAGTAAACTTGGTTAGCTTAAATTGTGCTGGATGGTGAAGGGCCACCTTTTCCTCTTATCAATTTAGTAGCCTGCCAGCTATAAATGAGCAGAACCAGGCAGCGCTCTCGGTCCATGCCAGGACAGTCCCTGAAACTAAAGAACTCACCTACAACTAATAGGATGCTATTATTTCAAGAGAAGCTGGGACAGGAGGGAGCAAAAGGGGTAAGTGAATGGAGGCACGGGGAAGGGTTGCGTGTGTGCACAAACATGCCCGTTAAACTGTTCTCACAGTGTCTAGGACGATGGATGACCTTAAGGGTAAAGACAGGTCCAGGTAGAGGGAACTTATAAAGACACCAAACACTGCTGCCTGTCTTCTCTAAGGCTCTCAGGGAACGGAACTCAGACATCTGGAGTTTTGGGGTACTGGGGCTTCTGCACAGGGGCCGATGATTACAGGCACATCAGACCTCTTCGCTGGGGCAGTGGCCACGTCTTTGAGGGACTCCAGACCACAGGCCCTCTGGGTTCAGGCCTTGTTTCCACCCATGACTCTTTCATCTCCGGCAACCATGAGTGTGCTAAATGTCTTGATAGAGGAGGTCATATTTGGGGATATTCTTGGGATCAATAGGACTTTGAACAATAAGTTTTCCCCTCATTGCTCCCCGGTAGATGACTTCAATCAAATCCATGAAGTCTTGTTTGGTTTTGAAGCTTCCTACAAATTTAGTGTGATCCGGAGACCTGCAGCAGAGAGAAATACCACGTCAGAGCTTTCCACTGCATGAAGCCTGCACGGTCAGCAGCCAGCGGCGGCCTCTTTCCCCCATCTTGTCTAGGAGGCTCTCCACCTGTGGTGTGGCCATTGCCCTTCCCCAGGCAGAGCATACAGGACCACATCCAGGGCAGAGGTAAGATCCGGGTGTGGGAAGACCCTGCCTTTCCGTCACGTTCCACGTCACTGACTCCAGGGTAGCCTGGAGAGCTCTGAGTCCTGCAGTGGGTGGAATTTGCTCAGAGTCTCTGAAAAAGCCCATTAGCTCATCACAGTTGCTCAGGTCCTCCTCTCCGACTCTTCTGAGTTGTGGGTATTAATAAATAACCTTACAAATTATCTTAAACATCAGGCATACTGCTCGTAGGAAATTTAAGAAGAGAAATAACGCCAGCTGTGAGGCCAGAAGTCACTTTTTGAGGGGTACCCTTCCAGTTCTGCGTGTGTGTGGGGTGTGCATTCTGTTTATTTTGCTAGGGTAGGAACCACACCACAGATCCTTTAGTAACATGATCTTACAGCGATTATTTGCCTCGGGGCTGGAAGATGTACTCTGACAACACACTACAAAACTGCTGGAAATGGAACTACTGGGCTGAAAGACGAAGCACTGAGAAGGTGTGGGAAACTGCGCCCTGAATTCCACGGGAAGAGGTTGTTCTAAACAATCACAGTAAGCAGATCCGAGCAGAACAAGCAGCTCCAAACAGACAGTGTCAAACTCATCTCCGTCAGGTAATGGGAAAGCAGACACCCCGCCCCAGATCAAGGGATGACCAGCCCTAGGCCCATCCAGGGGTACTCATCTAGGGCTGGGAACAGGGTGGAGGGCAGTGCAGAAGATACCATGTGACTTATTTTGACAGGTCTTCTTGAAGAATGGCTTCAAAATTCTGAGTGGCAGAAGACACTTGCAAGAAAGAAGCGTGTCTCCCTGGCAGGAATGCTTCTTGTGCAAATGACAACTCTACCAGCCCAAAGCTTAGGAACCAGGGATTTTCCTGCAACAGAATTTTTTTTTTTGAAATTTTTATATTCTGTGCTCAGCTAATACAGTTATTCTATGTTTTCTATACCTAAGGATGGTTAGTCAGCACTTCAAAGGCTATGCTATTTTTTCATATTTAAATTAGAAATTAAAATTTGCCAATCACATTGAAACACCTGCAAATTGCACTGAAGTTTCTCATAAGAAAAATAGAAAGCAGCAAACAAGGAGCCAGCACTCACGTGGCCAGACTCAGAGAGCAACGGAAAAGTAAGTGAGCTACGGAAGCTGCCCCGAGAGAACCAACTTTCCAGACTGCAGAGTCAACTTAACTTACCCATAATCCACTTTCATGTGCTGCCCATTGAAGAAAAACACAGTAGAGGGAATATAACTGATGTCAAAATACTGCGTGTAAACTGGAGTGTGGTCCACATCTACCAGGTAAATAGCCGCCATCTTACTGAGGTCAGCGGAAGTCTTTGAGAGCTGTGAATGACAAAAGGGATGGAGGTTACACTGTACTATGCCAGGAGCATGATGTGAACCGTCTTATAATACTGTATGTGAAACTTACTATAACTTTTTTTTTTGAGAAAAATTTTGTTTGAGAAAATACCTGAACCAAGTATCAAGTGCACTTGAAATCCTCATAAGACACAATCCTGGAACTTGCTATAAACCAGGCTGGCCTTGAGCTCACAGGGGTCCACCTGTCTCTGCCTCCCAAGTACTGGGATTAAAAGTGTACACTACGCCCAGCCAGACAGGGTGGAACCCTGTTGATAGGCTCTGGAGAAGGCACTGTATGGTTGTTTGAATGAGAATGGCCCTTATGGGATCATATATCTGAATACTTGGGCTCCCAGTTGGTAGGAATATTTGAGAAGGTTTAGGAGATGTGGCCTTGTGGGAGGAAGTGTGCCATGATGGGCAGTCTTTGAGGTTTCAGAAGGTTTCACACCGTTCCCAGTTAGCTTTCTATGTCTTTTTCTTGTGTCAAGATGCGAGCTCTCAGCTATTTCTCCAGCGTCATATCTGCCCGCTGCCATGCTCCCTGCCGTGACGGTCATGGATTCTAACTCCTAAAACTATAAGCCCCAAATAAACTCTTTCTTGTATAAGTTGTCTTGGTCATGGTGTCTTATCACAGCAATAGAGAAGTAACCAAAACTTCTCTTTTGTTGATGCTTGAGATGAGTTCTTTTTAAAGTTTTATTTACTTGTGTGTGTGCAGGGATAGGACGGGTGCATGTGTGCTACACACGTGTAGGGGCCAGAGGACAATCTGTTGGGGTCAGGTCTCTCCTTCTTAGTGGCAAAATCCCTCACTTGCTGAGTCATCTCATGGGCTTGTGTTTGATTATTTTCAAGAAAGGAATCTACACTCTCAAAGTGAGCTGGGAACACAGACAGTGCTAGAGCGTGAGGTCTAGTTTCAATTCTCAGTACTTCAAAACAGAAACTATAGATCCTGATATACCTGCCGGCGACAGCTCAGGACACTCACAGATCCTGATCCTCCCCAGGCTCTGTCTTCGTAGACAGGGAAATTAGAGAAGTGTCTGACGCCACCTCCCACGGGCTAACGGCGCTCGATACGATACATTTCTGGATCATCTTCTCCCAGGTTAATATAGCATTCTTACTTATTGACTGGAGTGTGTGTGTGCGTGTGTGCGTGCGTGCCACACGTGGGAGTGTGGGTGTACGTGGAGGTCAGAGAACACCTTTCAGGATTCAGTTCTCTCCTTCCACCGTGGGTTCCGGAGATGGAACTCGGGTTGGAAGTCCTGTGCAGCCAGCACCCGTCCTGCTGAGCCACCTCGCCAGCCCCGCACACTCGTTTTAATGACATGGTGCTACTCTTGCATTTGCTTCCCACAGTTGATGGTGGAAGAGAGGCCCGTCCTTGGTTCAATCTCCACGGTAAACAGAGACAAGGAAAACAAAGACAAGAAAACTCTCAGTCTCCTAATTTCCCTCTTTACTAATTGGCGTGTGAAGATGTGCTGTGAAACTTGACCTCTCCACCAGGCCGTTCTAGGAGCAGCAAACAGGTAGCACCTTGGCAGCCAGGGAAACAGCTCAGACCCCGCTTTACCGCTGTTGCACCCTGGAGGGATTTCTGAGTTCTGTATGGACTGTTGCTGTGACCGTGAAAAGGACAAGGTTCAGACATCTAGTGTTGGCGTTTCCTGCTCTTCCCCTGCTTGACTTTTCATTCAAAGCTGCTCACTTAAAAAGTCACTTACAATGTCATCCAGCTGCAGACAGACCGGGTCCTCATCCCTCCCAAACCTGAGAACCAGCACCTTCTCCGCAGTGCTTTTGATGGCCTGGTCCACTTCTTTCTTGCTGGTCAGTTTGGGCAAGAGGAAGCTCATCTGGACAAATCCCAGTGGGAGTCTTCACTGCCAATTCTGCGAAGTTTACGGACTGTTTAGATGAAGTACATGAGTCCTGGTGCAAAGAACAAAACAACGCCATTGAGCCTCAGTCATGAATTCAGGTGATTTAAGAAGCCTTCCAGCAAGCCTATTCTGTGAAGAGGCCCCACCCCTGGCTTGCTGTCCTTGGGCCCAGCTTCCAGAACTTCATATGCCATCCTGAAACACCAGGTGACCGCTTTCAGTAATTTCTCTCAGAAATACATGAGAAATACCATACCAGAAGAACATATGCACGGTTTTGTGTTTGTTCCCCTTTAACACAAGAGATAAGTCAGTGGTCCAGTGAATGAGAGATGATACCCTCAAATGTGGGGACTGGAGATCTAATTAGATCAGAATAGGAAGAGAAGGCAAAGCCTGTGACTGCCCCCACTCTGTGGAGCCATGGGCAGCTGAGCAGAGAGGCAGCTACACAGAGAGGTTGGCCTGCATCTAAAGGATGCTGCTATCCCTACCCACAACACCACTGTCTGAGTCCAGGTGGAACCAGAACTTACGGGAAGTGCTGAGGCAGACGAACTTGCTGACGTCAGTCAGTTAGTGTAGGAGGAAGCGCAGCAGAGGCTCTCTCAACTTTCTGTGCTACACATTGTTTTTTTTTGTTATATTTATTTATTTATTATGTATACAATATTCTGTCTGTGTGTATGCCTGCAGGCCAGAAGAGGGCACCAGACCTCATTACAGATGGTTGTGAGCCACCATGTGGCTGCCGGAAATTGAACTCAGGACCTTTGGAAGAGCAGGCAATGCTCTTGACCACTGAGCCATCTCTCCAGCCCTACACATTGTTTTAAATCTAACATTTAATGAGATTCCCATAGCCCCACATAGAAAGCTTCCAGATTCTACTATGGTAGCATACCATTTCATATGTGGACCATACTTCAGTGGCCCTTTGTTGATGGACATTTGTATGTTCTCATGTCCTGGCTTAAGGAGTCTTCCTAGGTACACTTTATCACATGACAAACAGACTGACAATGAGTGTGTGGGGCTAGGTGTGGTGGCACACACCTTTGATCCCAGCACTTGGGAGGCAGAGGCAGGTGAATCTCTGTGAGTTTGAGGCCAGCCTGGTCTACAGAGTGAGTTCCAGGTCAGTCAGGGCTACACAGAGAAATCCTGTCTTTGAAAAAAAAAACAAGACAAAAGTGTGTGGAAATCACAAATAAATAAATAAATCAGAAGATACTGCAATAGAGGGGCCTAATCTGGATCTTCTCTGTCTCCTTTTAGTGCTGGGCTTCTTATTCTGCAGACTAGTTTGTTCTGTTTCCCTTCAAGCTATAGAACAATGGTTAAAACCTGAGATACAAAATTGCTAGTCATGTTGGGCGGTGGTGGTGCACGCCTTTAATCCCAGCACTTGAGAGGCAGAGGCAGGTGGATCTCTGTGAGTTCGAGGTCAGCCGACAAGAGCTAGTTTCAGGACAGACACCAAAGCTACAGAGAAACCCTGTCTTGAAAAAAATACCAAAAAGGAAAAAAAAAACAAAAAAACATTGCTAGTCTAGCTTCTCAGTTTATAAGAAACTTCCCATGTGAGGAGTGTTAGGAGTGAAAAGCTATTATTGAGGGTGTCCACGAGATGTGTTGAAGAGAGATTAGATAGCTTGAATTTAGTTTCAAGGTTTGTTAATGCTATGAAACCTGAATTCTCTTTTCCCCATGCATCAAAACTCACATTTTAAGGTATGAGTAGGGCTGGGAAGATGGATCAGTTGGTAAAGTGCTTGCCTGACAATCATAAGGACCGAGTTTGATCCCCAGACTCCACATTAAAAGAAACCTGGTGTGTGAAGGCATGCTTATGATTTCAATGCTGGGGAGCTGGAGTCAGGCAGCTCCCTGGGGTCTGATGGCCACTCAGCCTAGCCTATTCAGTGAGTTGTAGGGAGCCTGAGACCTTGTCTCAAAAAGATCAAAGTGGACGGCAGCCAAGGCATGACACCTGAGGTTGCCTTTGGGCCTCCATGTGCAGGTGTGCAAAGGCAGGTGCACACACAAGATAGGAATAAAATTTATACAAGAAATGAAGTTGTTACAGCTATGGGTCACCATTTGAATATTTTTACACGTGGATCTTGCCTGCATGTATATCTGTGCACCATTTGTGTGCTGGTGCCAGCAAAGGCCAGAAGAGAGTATCAGATTCTTTGGAACTAGAGTTACAGACAGATGTGAGGTGCCACATGGGTGCCAGGAATTGAACCCGGGTCCTCTGGAAGAACAGCCAGTGCTCTTAACTTCTGAGCCATCTCTCCAGCCCTAAATAGAGAAGCTGACTGCCAGTATAAACGGAGAATCAGAAATGAGCACTAAATACACTTGGAAAGCCCAGTTTTGGAGCAGTCAAAGAATGACAAAGTCAAAGGCACATTTAAGAAATGCATTAAAGCTAACAATCATTAAACAACGACAGTAACACACCTTGGCAAGAGAGAGAAGGGACAGCGGGAATGTTAGAATTCAGAGGCAAAGCCTCTTTGGAAGGAAAACTGGCACGTTCTTTACACAACAGCTCTATTTTGAGAATATGAATTAGGACACAAAGACAGGTTCACAGGATAATTAACACATTGATCATGGCAAAAAGCGGCAAACAACCTAAATAGCCATCAACAGGGTATTGATTATAGTAGTCTTGCGAGTTACCTATACAAGTCACTGAAAAAGTTATGAAGCAGTATGTAAAGTCTGATTGCGCTTTTTGTAAAGATCGAATGCATAACATTTACATAGGAAAATGGAAATACATATCCCAAGATATCATCAAAGGACATATTTGAATATGAGCAAACAGGTGATTATTATTATTTCCACTAATGGTCTCGGTTAGCAGTCCATGTTGGCTTTGAATTTGTGGCAATCTTCCTGTCTCTGCCTCACAACTGCTGGAATTATACGCTTGTGCTACCACGCCAGGAAGATAACTTTCATTTACGTCAGGGCGGACAGTCTCCTTTCCAAAATTTCCCGCACATGTTTTTCAGGATGTCGGTGCCAGGGAGGATACTTCGGAAAATCTGTCAGCAATCCCGATTCCTCCACGGGATAGCCGAGGCACAATCGTCTCCTTCCTCAGTCCCAACCCGGGAAAGGACCTTAACCCCGACTAACCTGGGCTGTTGCTTACAAACGCTTCTTCGACCCGCAAACCCTTACAAACGGAAGTGAGATACATAGACGCAGAAAATAAACGTACCATCGCGTGCCCCAGTCAAGAGACCAATAAGCAGACGACATTATCTTAGTTCTCGCCCACCTGGCACCGCCCAACCGAAATTATGTCATTTCCGCCCTTCGTAAATATGGCCGACCTCGTTCTGTCTTCCCTCTCACGCCTACAGGCCAGAGGCGGGCTGTCAACTATCAGGCTAAGCACGATTGGTCGCAAGGCGACTTGGGGCCCAGTGGAAGACACTGCGGCTTTGAAGGCGTGTTCACGTTGTTCGCTCTGGCGTCCGGGAACCCTCGTTTGCTGGCTGCTCTCGATGGTAAATTTTAGACGGATAGAGGACCCCGCGCAGGGTATTATGGGACAATGATGGCCGCTTTCAAGCTTCGGAATTGGCCTCTTTGAGGCCGTCAGACAGAGCAGTAGCCGCGCTGGCGTCTCCAAATCAGGGGCAGAAGGTCCCGAGAGTTGTGCTTGGTGAGGTGAGTGTCTCTTCCTCTTTCCAGATTCGTCCTTCGGCCGCCATGGCGGCTTCAGGCGGCCGGGGTCGGCTCGCGGCTTAGGTTTTGGACCCTGCAGAGTTCCTCTGCTCCTTGTTACTCAACTTTCTCTACTCACTTGAGCAGTCTTGTGACCATTCAGCCTACTGTGGACTTTGTCCCTGTTCTGGTTACATTCTGATGTTTGGAACCGTCCCACTGAGATCTAGGGATCCGCCCTGCGCCCTCGTTTAGGATGGTACCCTCACCTGTTACCGACTACCGGGAGAGCCTGACTAGGGCTCCTGATGCCTTCCTCCTTTCTCTCAGAAGTGTTTGCCCTACATCTAGCGGGTCATCTATAAGTAGAACGTTAACTCCAAAGGACAGGGAGTTCTCTTTCTTTCTTTTTTTTTTTTAAATCAGTATTGTTGAAAACAGCTATTGACTCAAGGGCACATGCAGTAATCAATTCCTGCTCAAGGAGTGCGTTGCGACTTTTTTTTTTTTTCCACTGATCTTTCTCCATAATCCGGCCCTGGAATTCCTTATTTGAGCAGCCAGTTAAGACCTTACTTGTCTTGTGTTGTAGATAACTTCCTGTTGTCCAGAGAAATGTTTGAGTTTTTGTTCCCTTTTAATAAGTTATACTTATTCACTTATTTAAAAGAGTCAGAGTTTTATCTTGCATTTATTGGTCTATAGCAATCAGCAAGACTTGTATACAAATGTCATTTTAGGATGTAAGTCATCATTCAGGTAACTGCCGAGAGCCTGTGGATCTCAGCTGCCCTGTCTAGATTTCCTCGTATGTGTATAGCGGTAGCTTTCTTTTTCCGTTCTAGCTGATGAAATTTCCAAATGAAACTCCCATTATTTTTGCAGTACTCCTTGGTAAAGCTGTGCATGCTGATTAGAACATGGCAAAGGAAATCTAGATTCCAGGGGCACAGTTCTTATGCTTTAACAACTTATTGTAACGAAAGTCATTGTCTCTGTGTCCAGCATCAGTTCATGCTCACCAGCGGATGGTGTTGGGTAAAGACGAATGTGTTGTCACCTGAGCACCCGGGAGATCTTGCAGTCTCTTAAACTCTCTCCTGAAATGCCATTCCCTAACAATATTTCTCATCAGTAAGTTTGGTGAACACAGATTGTTATTCAAGAGATTTTGCCTGCTATAGGGCACCTTTTTTTCTTTTCCCACAAAACACTGATTAAAATCAAAGTCACCAAGTGTGTAGAATGTGGATGGTAAAATTACATTCTTCCATCTCTGATCTGTGGAGCTTGTGGTTTAAAGGGGACGGAAATGGGTGGGGAGGAGAATGTTTTGAAAATATTAGTAAGGAAACTAGTCAGTATATAGGAACGTAATATCAACTGTGTAATAATTACATTGATGAAACAACTGTGGTTCTTATGCAGTTGCTTGATTCTCATGGTGGTTCTGTGGATGGTGTAAAGCAGAAATGATTTCTGTTTCACAGAGAGAGCAGGAATAGCTAGCCAAGGCAGCTGCTTACTTTCACAGAAGCAGAAAATGCCAAGAGCCTGGATATTTTTTTTTAAGTGTCTGTTACTACAGAAGGGATATACTGCTGCAGTTCACGTGAAAAAGCTGAGCATGTTTGATTGCTGTCTGGAGGCAGTGAACTAATGGGGGATCTTGAAGATGATTATTCTGGTTCTTAAGTGGAAAAAAGTATATCCTGTAGAAGGGTGAAATCACAGGAGAATAAATTAGATAATGGGTAGGAGAAAATACGTGACTGAGGGCCGTGGGTATGAATGAATGAATATCTCACCAAATAGTCTAGCTGGTGTGAAACTCACTATATATCGCAGGGTAGCTTCAAACTTGCCATCCTCTGGAGCCCTGGCCTCCCACGTGCTAAGGTTACAGGTGTGTGTCACCATGCTGAGGTTGAGAACCTGGATTTTAATTGAGGGTTCTGCCTTCCACCTGGTTCCTCTGTGCTCCTTCTGTAGATGCCATTGTCCTCCAGTGAGAAGCCCTACTGAGGTTTATTCTTGTCTGGATGAGACCCTCTTGATCCTGTCCTTTGCTCCGTGTGTATGTGTCTCTGTGGCTTTCATATGTGTTGGGGTGGGAACTGGGAAGCTTTTTGAGATTGTCACGGATTTGGTGGGAAAGTCTTCAAAAGTAGCAAGAGGGGCTGAAGAGATGGCTCAGTTGGTGACGTACTTTATCACAAGCATCAGGACCTGAGGTTAGAAGCTATGGGAAAGCCAAGCGTAGAGGCACGTATATGCTGAAGAGGCAGATACAGGCAGATCCCAGGAGTTTGCTGGCCAGCTAGCTTGGCTGAATTAGCTCCCAGTTTAGTGAGAGACTCTGTCTCAGAAAGTAAGTAAGGGAGCAACTGAGAAAAACAGCTGAATTGACCTCTGACTTCATGTGCACATAGTGCATGTATACCTGCCTGAACACACACACACACACACACACACACACACACACACACACACACGCCCCTGATAGCAGAAGATGTCCTGGACTCAGTGTAGGAAGGTAGGGGTAGCCACTTAAATATACTAGTTATTCTGGGGCAGTAGAATTGAGTTTTCTTATGTCCAATTCTAATGGTTTGCCTTCCTCCCAGAGAAATAAGAGCCTATGATGGAGGACATCGTTGAGGATGCCTCCATCCATCGGCTGGAAGGCACGGATCTGGACTCTCAGGTTGGTGGTCTGATTTGCAAGACCAAAAGTGCAGCCAGCGAGCAGCATGTCTTCAAAGCCCCTGCTCCCCGCCCTTCACTGCTGGGTCTGGACTTACTGGCTTCCCTGAAACGGAGGGAGCGAGAGGAGAAGGACGATGGGGAGGACAAGAAAAAATCCAGAGTCTCTTCTTACAAAGACTGGGAGGAGAGTAAGGATGCCGAGGAGGAGGGCGATGAGCAGGCTGGCCGGAATGGCCGCAAGGACAGGTAAGGAAGAGGGTAAACATTGATGTCAGAAGACACTAGCCAGCTTTATCTCTATTTCTGATGGACACCTAAGAGCTTTAGGATTTCATTGTGGGTTTTATACTGGTGGCGGGTAGGAATTGGTAAAGATCTGTGGGGAAAATTCAAAGGCATCTAAGAAGTGAAGTGGATGATGGAGCTTAAATGCCTGGGTTCTTGCCATGTACAGGCCTTTAGCACCAGGAGATGCGTTGGAGAGAACACTTTGCTTGTGGGACTACCCAGAGATAGAGGGAAATGGAGAGCCCTTTCCCAATTGGTCTCCCTTTTCCAGGCATTACCGATCTGCTCGGGTAGAGACTCCGTCCCACCCTGGGGGTGTGAGTGAGGAGTTTTGGGAACGCAGTCGGCAGAGAGAGAGGGATCGGAGGGAGCATGGGGTCTATGCCTCCTCCAAAGAAGAAAAAGATCGGAAAAAGGAGAAATCCCGGGATCGAGACTATGACCGCAAGAGAGACAGAGGTAAACTGCCTGTTCTCAGTCCTGTTGCCTAGTAGCATTCAAACCACCAGGCCATTCTTTTCCTGTTACAAGAACTTTTACAATAATGTCCAGTAATTGCTTGTAGTATAACTGCTTTGCTTGAGTACGTGGTTCCTGTTTTATTGTGAAAACTGGGGATAAAGGAAGTGATGGGTAATTTATTTAAGAAACCGGAGTTTATAGTAGCATTGGTGCTGGAGAAAGGACAGTGCTGCGGAACATAGTGACGCAGAGTCCAGCACTGGTCGCCGGAGGTCTGCTGCAGCACAAAGCTCTTCAGGATAGACACAGGACTGACTCTTTACAGTTGGTTCTTGTTGGAAAGTAGCTCTTGTGTGAGCTTGACCCTGTCTATCCATTGAGAGAATGAGTGTGTGTTTCAGCCCATGGATAATGGCTGTGTGTGATGGGGTATGTCTGTGTGGGAGGGGAGGCATGTGCTTTTTGCCTAGTGCATGTGGTACACATAAAAGCCCCATGTGTGACTCTCACAGATGAGCGGGACAGAAGTCGGCACAGCAGCAGATCAGAGCGAGACGGAGGCTCAGAGCGCAGCAGCAGAAGAAATGAGCCAGAGAGCCCTCGACATCGCCCGAAAGGTATTCTCAGCCATCCTCCACAGGGGCTGGCAAGGGCTCAGGTGCCCGAAAGGCAGAATGAGCAGTAGTCAGCTGTGTTGCCAGATAGTGAGTTGGAGTCCTAGTTCCAGTGTAACCCTCTGGAGTTAGGAGCCCTGTCCAAGGTGGGTGTGGCCCTGCCCCTCTCTTGGGTGGATATAATTCCTGAGGGTCTAGGCTGTTTACCGCAAGGTGGGTGTTTCAGATGGTAGGAAACTAGAGATGGGGTGGGTCAAGAAGGATTTCCTGGAAAAGAACGGTTTGTTTTCAGATGAAGAGGTTTGCAGAGAAGATTGGGTCCTTCAGTATTTTCAGCAGTGGAAGCTGGACTATCGGGTGCAGTCTGTCAATTGTCGTCACTGTATTGCCTATGGTGAATAAGGTCAAGGCTAGGAAAGAGGCTGCGGCTGTCAAGATCCTCTTGATCTGAGTTTATCACCAGGACCCACATGATAGGAGAGCTGACTCC